GAGCGGGTAAGGGCCGCGCTCGCGCGCCGTCCCGGCCGTTGGGCAGGGGCCTTTGGCTGGGGCTCTCGTCGCCGTCCTAAGGCGGGTGCGGGGGCGGTGGGGAAGCTCTGTCATCTGCGCGGCCGTGCCCCGCGGGGCCTCCAGGCTGCTGCCGCCGCCCTGCCTCGCTCCTGCCTGTCTCAGGAGCGCAGTCCGCTTACGGTTTCTCTTGCCGAAATGGTGTCTGGCGTGGCTTGGCCGGGCCTGGCCGCCCTTGTGCGTCCCTCTGACCGCCTCTGGAAGGCTGCTAGGCAGCGCGGCTCTCTGCCCACCTCGCCTTAGGCGGTGGCAGCGCTCTCTGCTCTCCTCCTTCCTGACCACCTCTAAGTTCTGCTGTGTCAGTACTGACAGGTTCAATTTTCTTTCTGTGCACTGATTTGCAGTAACTGACATTGGATTCTCTTCGTCAATTAATTACTTGTGCTTTCACAAGCTCCTATTTTTCCTGACTACCAAAAGCAGCTGTCACCCAGGGCCTCATGCAGCTTTGCAGTTCGTGCTGAGCCATGCACTCCTGTGCCTTGGTGTGAGTAAGCTAGTAAAGAGCCAGCCCCTTGAATACATCCACAAAACTTAGATCCGGGATTGCCAGTATTAAATAAGTGACTTATATTTAAGTCCGAGTTGTCTTTATAGTGCCCTTAACCCACATTAGCTAGCATTAGGTGAGGTATTTTCAATGAAACTACAGAAAGAAGCAGGAGACTCCCACCACAAATCTTCCTTGCTTTAGAGCCATTTTGTGTTAAAGGTGTGGGAACCGTACACCTCCATCCAGGGATGTATGTATTTATTCAGGGATGTCAGCTTTGCTGTTCAGGGAGATGTTTTGTGCTAATGTCTAGGTACTGGCATAAGGCTAAGTCTGGTTCTAGAACATTTTTCTCATCTAGCATTAGATTGGATATTTTATATGTTGTGAGCTGTAGATCTATGCTAAGTGGCTACTTCCAGTTACTACAGAGGAATTTTAGAAGAAACTGTGTAATAGAGTAACTTAATTGCTTTTGAAAACTCTCTGAAGCCCTATTTTGTCAGTGACTGGCTTATGCCTTGAAATTGAATGACTGACTTACATGTTTAAAATATATGTTTCCTCTAGGAATTAATATTTCCAGATTGCTGATGTCTAACTTCAGCCAATAAAACAACATACTGATAATTTCCCATTTTGGTCAAAACAAAATTGTATAAAAACAACACTTAAAATGCATGTTAAAAACATTGTTTTAATCATTTATTCTAATCTTTAATGGTCTTTTTTATTTAGTATAATCATCCTTTTGAAGATGATTTACTTATTTCCATGGAAACTCTCACTTACAATACACCTGAAGGTAAGAACTTCTTAAAGCTTCAATATTTACATGCTGTATATTTCGACTTAGGGAAGCATGCAAATGTTATATAACATCTAATTGCAACAGATACTGAATTTTGTCCACTTAGGTATGTCATTTCCTATGTAAACTTTGATACACACATATAATACCTGGAGAGTTTATTTATATGCACCATTTTAGTCCATTGTGTGCTCTGTTTTAGACAACAGAAAAGAGTTATTAGCAAAGTTCAGGGTAACTGAATGGTTAATATTTGGATGTCCTGTAAGAATAAACATCAAAAGGGAGAAGACTGAGGGGAAACAAAGGAATGGAGGTATTAGCACGAAGTTGATACGCATGAATGGATTGTATAGTTTCATCTCCGCTTAGTATTCTGAAGGCCACTCTGATAAACTTCTGTTATGTCAAATGTCAGGGTGGACTGGGTAGATAGTTTCTTTAACTTTTCATTGAATGTTCATGTGGTTAGCGTGAATCTATACCACATTATTCCATGTCATATTTTTCCACTGTTTCATTGTAACTGTTGATCCATTATAGAGTTGATAATGCTTATGGAGAGCTTATTGTGAAAAAAAATGTTGTTCTAAAATACATTGCTCAGGGTTTTAGTGGGACTTGTGACTTAGTATCTTGGTGACTTTACTGGGTAATGAAATGTTCTGCCAGTTTTTATCCTCACTGAAGCGAGGGTTATGGTATGTAAATTGCCACATCAGTTCTCATAAAGAAGAACTTACTGGATATACACATGAAGTACTACCACAGTGTCAAACCCAGTGTAATCATTGCACCAAATATGATTTACTTTTTAAAGGCTTTTACAGACTGGGAAGTTTGCATTTTATATATGTTGTCCATTGGGAGAGGGAGGAAACATGCATACAGCACTGTAATACAGTCTTGGATTTGTAAAGGCTTGGTTATGCTTTTGGTTTAGTAACCTCTATTCGATATGGAATGAATATGGATCTCAGTCCTGTAAAGCCTTAATTATGGCTTTAAGTAACCTCAGATACCACGTAGTCTGCATGCATTAAATAAAATTTAAAAAGCAAAATAATTTGCTTTTTTTCCCCTCTTCGTAGCATCTGGGGCTGTAGTGCTTTTTGGATTTTAGCTCAGTGTTGTTAGACTCAGTGTGTGATTTATTTTTTTTTTTTCCCCCCTGACTTCTCAATTAACTTGAAATTACAATATTATCTTGGTTTGTTTTCCTATAAGTTTCTGTTTCAGCAATTGTATTAGAGGCTGTTCAGATTTGATAATGTTTTGTTACTATGTAATATTTTCTTCCTAGATGTTTATGTTTGTTAGAATGATACTTCTTATAGATAGTGTTATAAGAAAAGCTATGTTTATATTTATATCTCTTGTTATTTCTAGGACCAAAGCAATGGGAGGAAGTGTCAATCAAGAAGCTTAAAAAATGGAAGAAGGAAGTACTTGAGGTATCTAATAATATAGTCCTACTATGCAGTCAAAATGTAGCAATATTTCTTTTTTTATATATATATATATAAAAAATATATATAGGAATACAGTCTAATCTTGCTGTGCTATATAATATTTGCAAGACGTATTAATCAATGAAGTCATCTGCTTCAAAATAGGGTTTTAGGATAGATTGGTTAAGACTGTCAGATAAGATAGACTAAAATAGATGACCATTTACCATGGTTAGCACCACTGGTGAACCTGCAAAATTTTTTTTTTAAATGCTGTCTGATGGGAACATGTACTTTTGGATCTCGTCAGAATATTGTCATTGAAGTTAACATGCATTGAATCAATTTATCTTGGTTCAGGTAATCAGCTTTTCAGTTCTGAAGGGCTTGCTGGTTTCATCTTTAGATTTTTTTTTTTTTCTGTAAAATAATGCTAGAGTAATTAAAGTATCTTTGCAGTCTCAGCACTCGCTGTCTGTGTCAAGCTAAAGCCATTACTGTTGTGGGCAGTACTTACATTAAACAAGCAGTCGCTGCTTCTTCTATTTCCTAAACTCCCCCATAAGAACTCAACAGTGACTTTCATTAAAATCTCAGTGTTTCTCACATAACTGTCAGAAGTCACCTTGCTGCTACATTCCTAATATCTGCCTAAAACGTGAAGTTGCTTAGCGTGCCTTGGTGGTTAACACAGAAGCTGTTCTGCACCCCACAGAGCGAGGGGATGAGGAGTGAAATTCAGTCTTGGGGAACAAGAGTGGATTTAATGGAGATGGAAAAGGTGCTGTATTTCCCTTTCTTTTTCCATTCCTGGTAATACCTTGTGCATCATCTACTAAGCATTGCTGCACGACTTCACAGACTAAATCCATTAAGGACTGTAAGAGGAATTCTCTGTCTTACCCTCTTATGTGGGCCAAGGTAGCTATACCTTAGGTTCTTGTAGTGATTTTAACAGCAACAGTATGGCAAGAAGTAAATGATCAGGTAAGTTTTACCGTGTATTTGTGGCTTTTCTGGCCAGGCCATGGAAAACCTGAAGGAAACTGGTTATTTAGGAAATACCTAACTGTGAGATATACCAAAGTAAATAAAGGCATCAGTTAAAATAACTTTACTATTCTAAGATTGTTCTGACATTTTTTTTTTTCCTATTTCTAATTGCAGTGTAATAGAGGAAGTCAACGGAATGCAGGTAAAGTGTTTAAAAAAAGATAATTTATAGCACTTATTTTATCCAAAGAGTCTTGACTTAATAGAAGATGTCCTGGTTTTATGCCAAACTCTTTAGGATACTCACTGTTTTTTGTGGAGGGAACCACCCAAAAAACCCAACAATACTTACATTCATAAGAATTCCAAAATGTAGTTTAAAATGTTTAGGATGAGTAAATACATTATAATTGATGATGCTGTCACAAGTTGATTAAAACAATCTCCCCTTATCAATTAAACAGTAAGCTTTTTGTTGTATTTGTTGGTTTTGTCAGATGTTCACTGAATGTAAAAATTCCAACCCTGACTTACGTGGTTGTACCAGTGGAGAAATTTGAAAGTTGCTAGCTTTTTGAAAATAACTAGATAAGTAGGCATTTTAAAAAATGTGTGTTAAAAGAATCTCATGAAGTCGCATGATGAGCTATCAAAAATTTAGCAGATTATTCTGTATACTGAATGACTCGGGCTGCCTGCAGGAAGAGGTGGTGTATAGTTATTTCATTAGAGATCAAGTATCATGATGGAAGTCAAATCAAGACTGTCTGTCAAAGTGTAATTCTGATACTACTTAGGGAAATGTATGACATCTGAAGATTTTCTCATTGTTCTGAAAAGGAGCTGTATGTTCCAATAAAATTCATGTTTTTACTGGGATAAATGATGCAGGAAATTATGATGTGTAGTACAGCAAAGGTATGTTGGGCTTTATTTTCTTAAGGTTTTGAGGTGGTTTTTTTGGTGTTGCTTATTTTATGACATTCATCTGAGAAACTTTTATGCTGAACACTTGAGGAAAAAACACAACCTAGTGTCTCTCTCCCTCTACAGTCCTACCAAAAAACTTGTCCATACAGGGTTCAGGTATAGACTTTGAATCAGCCTATGAAATTAAAATGTTGAGCTGGGAGATAAGGGTCTGATACAAAAAGATTCAGATGGTCCAGACCTTTGCCTCTAATTTTTGGAAAATATATGCTGATGGGTCTGAATAGTACAAAAAATGACTGGCTACAATCTGCAGTAAAACTCAAAGAAAGAGCATCTAGCAGTTAGTTTTTTAAAAGATACAGTATTTGAAGTCTTTCAGCTGTAATTTTTTGTTAATCTTTGTGTTTTCATCTAAGGTCTGAATGCCTTAGAAGTTCTTATTGAAGGAATTTACTTGGAGTTTCTTTAATGCTACAAAGGCTTGATCTAATTAATTTTAAATTTAGTGTACTGCATTACAGATCAGGTAGAAAAGCAGAAAAATTGATAAATTACATATTTTTTCCAACTTTTAATATAACTTGAGCAAAGTCTTTATTTGGTTATGTTTTAAGTTATCCTAGGGAAGAAATATTTAACTAAATATTGAAGGGGGGCGAAATAGCACTAGTGTTAACAGCCTTTGTTATAAGGAAAAACCCGCTTTTACAGATTTGTATTTATACATGTGTATTTATATATGCTATAAAAGAATCTTGTGGATTTTGTTCAATTTAAGCAAATCATATCTTGCACTGACTTTTTTATTTGAAACACAAAAGTACATGGAGTAAGCATTTGAACTGGCTGGTTGTGGTTGGTGTTACTCTAAAAAAAAAAAAACCTCAAGAAAACCCAAAAAACCACCACCCCAAAAAACCTCACCCCAACAACAACAAAAAAAACCCAACTTCTGGCTATGGATTATTAAAATTAATGTGCAAATTTTACCTATCCTTGTTCTATACTCTTAGGTGGGCCTGATATGTGTTTTCAGTTAGGATACATAAAGTTCTGTGCTATTAAGTGTGAATATTGAAAATATCTTTGTAAGACCCAAATACTTATTAATGAACCCCTTCCCTTGGAATGTAACTTGTGTTATTTTTTTTCCAACTCGCAATTCTGAATTTTGCTAGAATCTATTTTTACTATTTGGATAGAATGTCCAGTACCCTTACAAAGTTTTACTGGGTAAAATGACAATCTTTTGAGTGTTCGGGGGTTTTCTTAACATATGCCAGTTCTGAGTATGGGAGGACCAAGTATGTTAAATTTCAAGCTCCAAGAAGAGCAATATTTCTGTCATATATTAGCCACTTAAAATTCTTTCTTTCCTTGAGAAATTTTTTTGAAACAAAACATCCTCTGTGGTGTTTCATAGATCTTGCGCAGTAAGAGCAGTAAGGGATTTCAATGGGACATTACCGTGTTATTCTGATTTCCTGGGTTCCCAATACAGAAATATTTGGAAAATGCTTTATTCAGCTTCTAAAAAAAAAAAAAAAATGCATTGCTAATATATTTTAAAAGAAGTTTTACTATAGTTTTTTGCAAAATAGTGAACATGTTTCCTGAGAAGGTTACGAGCTGAAGCCAGAGCCTTCTAGTTATATAATATGCTTCACTAACTTTATATGAGAGTGGTTTTATAGCCCCGTTTCCTACTGGTTAGAAAACTGTGCTTAGAATAGTTACCAGTGGTCTGCATCCAAACTGAAGGGAAACATGAGGGATTTTTTCCAGGACTTGTCCTGAGCAAATTACTAGTTTATACTTTCATTAAGTAAATAGTAAAAGAGGGGATACCCTTAATTAACTCACAGATGATACCAAGTAGGGATGACCACTGTGAAAGATGGTCTGACAAATTGGGGCCAAAACTTAAAGTAAACTTTGTGTAATTTCATGCAGAGAAGTTCAAAGTAATAGACTTATGTAGGAATAATCAATTGCAGGAAGAAGCAATTTTGAAGGCTGGCTGAGCTAACCGCGAATATCACTCTGTTGTGAAAATAGTGCATGCTGTGCTAGAAGACGTGCACAGGTGCCTAGTATGTAAAGCACACAAAATAGGTTTTCTGCACTGTTCAACAGTGATAAAACTTGTGGTGGAGTATTTTGTTTTGTATTTGATAGTAGCTTGACTAGCTGGAGTGAGTCAGAAAAAGAAAAAAATTACTAGAGCCACTGGTGATAAGACTTAAATGGAAGGGGGGGAAGAACAAAAGAGAGCCTCTAGGTTAAATATCAGAAAAGCTTTCCAAATGTAAACATAAGGAAGTCCTGAAATATGTTTCTTAGGAATTATGGAGTTGCTCTTAAGAATGGATTAGATTTCTCCTAGAGTTAAGTTAGGTATAGTTGTTCCTGCTTTAAAATGGAAGAAGGAATAGATGACATCTTTAGGTTCCTTTCCATATGCTTTAAGCCTTTAGAAAACTGGGAATCTTTAGATGTATGCTTGGCACTATTAAATAATGTGAAGTGTTTATAGGAGTGAATAATACCGATGTGCCTGAGTTAGGTATGAGATAAGTTTTCTCACCGTTTAACCAAAAAAAGTAAATCACTTGTGATATTTGACAACAATTTATCTGGAAACAGAAATGCAGAAAAAAGCAAGGACAACAAATTCTGCATTAAACAGAAACTTGTTTATGACAGTCTTGAGTAGGGTAAACATATCTGCTAAAGCACATGTATTATTTTTGGTATTTAAGTCTATCACATGCATCCAATCATGAGAAGTCCCACTACAGCTTTAGTACCAGCAGAGTCGTATGTTTGGAGATACAGATCTTCTTTTTGGGGAAAGATTAAATTTCTGTAATTTATGCAGTATTAACAAAAGATTTAGGCAATAATTTTTATATGCACATCATAATCATATGCACTGTATACAGACTTGAGAGGTTGTAGCTTGTTATAGATTGCTTTTTTTAAACTCTAACAAGGCAATGGTTAGAAATGTAACTTTTTTCGGTGATACCAAAACAGTTTTCAGTCTGAGTAATTTTAATAGCAACAATATCTGGCTTAGAGGCTAATTGTGAAATAAGCTTATGTGGAAGTCACATTTATTTGAAGATAGCTACTTCTCTGTGGGTCTAATATGTTTTGGATTTTATTTAAATCCATTTGAGTTGCGATAGCTGATGAAGAACAAAGTATAGATTGAAATGTAAAATGGGGAGAGATCTGCTAAATTAGACAGCTCTTACACTCCTTATATTTCTTCTGCTTCTTATGAAATAAATGGCAGGGGGGAGCACAAAGATTGTGAGTGGGTCTATCTGTGCAGGAAGACAGGCATAGCAGTTTTGGAAGGCCCCCTTGCCAAAAATCATTAAAAACATGCAATAGAGGTTTGGGGCTCTACCTTCAGGTTTCAGGAGTAGTTAGTCTTTTTCTTATCCTTTTCAACATATGCAAAGAACATGCACAAAAAGTTTGCAGTTGTCTTCCTTTTCTACAAGTCATACCACCTGATAAAGGGGCAAATTTTATTTTCTGTGGCACTTCACGGGTTAAGAAGAAAACGTGTAATATGGTAGATACACATCTCTGACCAGAATTAGTCTGCTATATTTGACTAGAACGTTGTTCTATCACTTGTCTATTCTTTGTGTCCGTCCTATGTATGTTCTCCATTTTTTAAATGTTTGTGTTAAATATTTTTCAAAGTAAATAAGAGTGCATATATAAATGAAGAATTAATGAGTTCAGGTACAACACTCATCTGTGACCTATCAAATTGAAATAGAATTATTTTTTTCCTCCCATGCATGCTAAGATATATCAAAGCAACAGACCAGTGATTTTGAAGATGGACATTCAATAATACATCAGGTATGGGCACCACATTGCATCTACTTTTATAAAGCCTCTTTGGGAAAACGGATTTATGTAGTCAAAAGCTAAGAAACTAATGATGAGCAGGGGGTCCTGTAGCATAGCTATAAAATTAGATTTTAAAGACCTACTAATTGCTGAATTGAATCACTTTCTTCTCCTTAAATAAGTACTTCTGAAAAAATTGAGGGCTTAAAGTATTTTGCTGCAGTTCTTTCACTGCAGTTCTTCAAACTTCAGGTATCTTATTAAACAATTGCTCTATATTTCCCCTCATGTAGTTCCCCACGTGTAGTTGCATTATTTTAGGAAAGATGTGTCTTTACTTACCAGGTACATTTTTGTGTAAAACTAAAATCTTCATGTTTTGGTTAATGTTGATCATCTAGTATACTTCCCTTGCTTGTTTCCTCCCCTGATAGGTTCTGTGCTTTGAGATGGTGATGAATTCAAGTTCTGGACTTCTATGTGGTGGTCTAATACATTTTGTGATGGTGGATTCATGCAATTCTTTTTAATTTTTACTATGTCCCTATTCATGTTGTTTATGTGGTAGGCTTTACATATGTTTCATATAATTACATACCCTCCCTCCCATTGTGATATTTGGGATATCGAATAACAGCCGTGATATCAGCCATGGATTTCAGCTGAATTCTACTCTTCTTTTAAGTTTATTTAAAGGGGGATAGAGAAGCTGGACATAGGCTTTAAACCATCAAGTGTCTTTTTAGTTAGGCAAGATGTGTGTCTAACTTTTTTAGTTATTATTTGTAAAATCTGTGGTTGTCTAGAATAACTTCTTTTGACTCCTCTTTTTAAGGAGAAAATATTCAGCATTTGAAGAGTGATATAGGCCATCTCACTGCTCACACTTAATTGTTTGTTCTACATAGATGGTAGTTAGGGTTGCCTCATTTTATTGATGTCATTTTAAGCCACAATACACTAATTTTGTGATTGAACTGGACAGAATAGATATAGACTTTTTTTTAAAAGAAATTCTGAAGAATGTGATGTCAGACGTAGATTGTAAACATTTAGAAAAGGCTCCTTATCCATATAAATGAGCTTTTTATGCAACTATCAAGACTTCTACAAAATAGAGCAAAAAAACTGTTTGCAATATTATATATAGATTGTTTGAAGTAGGCAATTAAGAATTGTTTAAAGTGGGCAGTTAAGAAACTTTCCTTATACATTGGAACACAGAGAAAATCCCCAGTACATACTGATAAAGATTTGGTGATTAGAATTCATCTGTCAACTGTTTTTTTTTTGCTCTTGTGTATAATAGCTTTTCCTTGCGTAATTTGTCTGAATATAGAAGGGCTGGGAAGAAAATAGTTTTCCCCATTGAGTAATCAGATGTGAATCAAGACAAATTTGTGTACAGATTTGTTAATAAAGACGGTGTGATTTGGACGTAGTTTGTGGAATACGACTGGGTTTGTTTCACCACCACCACCCTGCCAAAAAAATTGAGCAAGTAGTGAGAGCAGAAAATTCTACAGACTAGTTAATATAGCTTATGCTACCAGGTCTTAAACTTCCTTTCATGTGCTTTTCAGCAATCTCCTGAGAACTCTCGTGTGGATACGTCTGACGTAGGTGGGTTTTTTAATTTACTTTTTAGCTACCTTTTTTTAACTTTTTGAAAAAGATAGCAAATACTTTTTTCGTAATTTTCTAATATAGTAAAAAATAATTTTAATACGTGTTCTGTACCCTCTCAGAAAGTAGAGAATAGGAATAACAAGAGACTGAGGTACTGGTAGTACTATGAAATCAATATCCACATTCCTCTCTAAAATCTCAGTCCCGAATCCCTGATATGTTGGAAAGTCAATGTGGAATATGTTTGATTGCCTTTTCTTAATACAGAAAGGAACAGTGAAATCAAAACTTTGACATAAGTGGCAATAGAAGTTTGATTAATAATTAGAATATTTAATTTCTAGTGGTCTGGTAAACACAGATATTGCATTCAGCTGCAATAATACATCCTCTGTAGTATTTGTAACAGTTTCGGCATCAGTCTTGTGGCCTGTCTGCAAAGTTTTGGGTGGTTTTGACCTGGTATTCCCAAATAATTACTTGATTGTATTAATTAGTGGTAACAATCTTTGAATGACTGTTTTTACAATATTTAAAACTTCTATTACTTAAGATCTTTTGATTCTTGTGCATATAAAAACTACTATTTTGCATAAATTAAACTATGGCTAGGTGGTAACCAGCATTTAATGATTAAAAGAGCAGTTGCAGCAAACTATGGTTAGCTGGTGTTTAAATACTCTGGTATAAATTAGGTGCTTCACATGCATAGCTGTCTCCAAGGCAGATGATTACTTCTCTGTTGAGGGAAAATAGAAAATAGCAATCTGAAATTTGTCCTCCTATCATTTGAAAGGATAATTTCAATGAATGATAAAATAATTTCTGCAAATCTAGAAAATGTGACTTCGTTTTTTTTCAACCTGCACAATGAAATACAGGAAACAAATTTCAGAGGCATCTGTAGCTTAGCTTCTGTAAGTGTCCTTTGTGTCTTTTGCACTCATGGGATAAATGAGTGATGCAGTTCAGACTCTGGTTATCTTCATAGCAGCGTACAATAATATGATTATCCACTCCTCCTCTTGTGAATATTCTAGGAAGAGACTGGAGAGGATTTATAGCAGCCTCGGTGAGTCCCAGCTATCTCCAAATACAGTAAGACCTAGACATTAGCTGCTTAGAGATGTGGGATTGGATTCCTCGCTTAAAAATGGAATTCACCTAGGTGTTTTGTTGGGTTTTTGTTTTTTTAAATATATAAAAGGTTAGCAATAGGGCATGCTAACTGTTAAGAAAACAGTGTATCTTTTAGCTGCTTTAGCTAAAACTTTAGCTTTGGCAGGTTTTTTCCATCTTTAGTATTCATACAGAATGCTTCACTTCTCAGTGAAGGCAGTGTTTCTTCCAGGTATTATACAGTATTTTTGTTCTAAAAGTATGCAAAGCCTATCAACAGCAGGTACAAATAAAGTGAAACAGCTCTCACCTGTACCTGCAAGTATTGGTCTGCCCTTAATAGGGAAAATTATTAGGTCTACCTTCTTTGGTTTCACAGGAAGTAGCATGGCAAAGTATAGTGATATCTGAACAATTCCTTGTATCTATTAGGATAGTATCACAGAAAAATGAACTTATTTGGAGAGAAAGCGGAAAGTTCAATCTGAATTGTATATTTATCGAAGTGTATTTAAGTTTAGAAGATCGCATCAAAGTCAAAACTTAAAATTTACAGTAACCCCCTTACTAACATATTCATCTTTTAAATAAGATATATCTTTTAGGTAATGATAGTGTATTGAGTACATCTCCAGTGAAATAACTTCCTGTATTATAGGTCAAATTTTCCAGAGAAAAAGGTGGGAGTTTTCATTTTTCCTCTCTCTTCTGCACTTGAGGAGCAAAGGTGTTCCCAAATTTCCCTTCTGGCCCTTAAAAATACATTAAGGTTCCCTGGAAAAGATATTTCACTTTTTTCCATTCTGTGCTGTGCCATGGTCCTCTGCTAATAATTAATGTTCCGGTTATTTGAAGTATGATTGACAATACATTGAAGACATACTAAAATTATGCTTTTGTGAGGTTTCACACCTAGAAGAGTATTCCAACTTGTATACAGATCGATTCATTCTATGATACAAGCTATTTTCTAATAATTATTAATTGGCATGATGGAGTTGACCATTCCTGGACACTGGAATTGTTACCTTTATCTTGAGAACCTCCCATTTTTGTAGCAGTCTAGTCTGGTCATCTTAGTGACCATTTAGGGAGCAGTCTGCCAGTTTCTTGCCTGATTCTACTGGAGGAAGACGACTGTGTGGCAGAAAGAGTATCAGCTGTTACAACAGAAACTGGAGCTGAAACTTTTCCAGATTAAAACATTAACATTCTTACTGCTTCCTACACTATTGATGCTTAGTAACTGATTTCCTGTGGATAAAGTGACCACAACTGTCTTCCATTAGTCACGTGGGAAGAAACTTTAATAATCTGACAGGTATGGGTTTCAGTTCTAATAAAATAATTCTACTGGGGTCAGGTAGACTATCAAAGCCAACCCTCTGATTGCTCAACATTTTCACTGGAAGATGCAAAATTGTGTCATCTTCCACAAAGATAGTATGTCTTTTGTATGTATCTTTATCCTAGCTGTATGGCAGCAGCTGTCCACAGAGCTTTAGGTGATGATTGTACTGGCAGGGAACAAAAAAGGAACATGGGATTAGCTGGAAAAGATTTTCATTCTGGTTTTAGTAATTTAAGAATAGTATGCAGAGGCAGTGATGTGGTAGGTATCATAACCAAGATTTTTTTCACTCATTGTTTTCCTTTTCAGGGTTATTCTTCTCTCCTCTTTCCCTCCCTGCGATGAATGCGATCATGGGACAAAGATATGACAGCCAGGGAAATTCAGAAATCAGGGCTTACAACGCAGTGACGTGTTTTATGATCGTGAAAGACTGAGGCTTTAGCTAATGATGAATTGGAAGGTTCAGCTACATCTAGCAAAAATATGTTTTGTTGCACTTCATTCACAAAAATACCCATAGAATACCTAAAAATTGAGTTGGAAGATTTGGACTTGCTTTTTAATACTCTCAAGTCTGTCTTATTTCTCACTTTAGTGGTTCTAAGGCAGTCTTGACAATAAGAAACTAAGAAAAGGAAGCATGGCAGAAGGTCCTTACTATCTTTGTTGGGATATTTAGGAACGTAATGGGAAATAAGTGGGAATGATATATTAATGAATAGGGAATCTTACAGAGCAGTGCTTTGAAAATATTTTACTCTCTGAAATAGTTAGCGTAAATCTTGAAAGACTGGTTACAAACAATTATCTTCACTCTTCTTGGTTCCCCTCAAGTCATTTATGAACCTATAAACCATGCTTTTCAATTGGATTTGAAATGGAAATCTAATACAGATAAAAAGTTTTAGTGTAGAAAACCATTTTCTAAAATGAAACCAGTTTAGTCGATAAGTTTTACAGTGTGTGTTGAAAAACATTTCCATTTTGGTTTTGAGTTCAACTAGATTTTATTTAGTATTTATCTTCAAATCGTAGATGAAGAAAGTGATGCTGATATGGTTTCAGTAAGAAGAAAATTTGAAGACATTCACTTCCAGGTAAAAATTTTTGGTGTCTAATGTAATGGAATAATTTTGTGTTCAATAGAAATGATTGAACTATTTGAATAGCTTACACGTGCCTGAGATGATGCATTGTCAGCAGAAGACTCTATGTAGTCTGCGTCTTAACGCACATTTTTAGTAAGCATAGCAAATGAGAGGTTCAATAAATAATGTCAGGAAGACCAACATGAAGTAATACTATGTCTCGGTATTGTTAGTATACCAGAGAAAGCCATACAATGTATTGCATAGAACAGGCAACCCTGAGACTGGGTGTTACAGGTATGGAAAAAGAATAACCAGATGAATCACAAAGTGAAAGCACTTACAAAAATATGATCATTCACCTGAGAGTCTAGCATAAATGGGTAACATAATTTAAAAAAAAAAAACAAATAGTAAATCTGAAATAATGGCTACCATAACAAAAGCAGACTGGAATCTTCTGCTGTTGTTTCCCAAACTGGACTATGGGTATCAGGACTGCCCAGAGTAGTTACATTGATGAAGAAAAGTACAACACACACTTTGTATGTGCAGCCATTCTAATCCAGTGTTCTGCTTGCTTAAATACAATTACCAAAAATTTAATTTACTTTCCTTGTTTAGCATAGTGCTAGGCATTGTCATGTCTCTGACAACAGCTAATACAAACTGCTTCAGAAAGTGAGAGTTTCACTAATGAAAAACTTTTGTCGTTTATCACCAAATGCTTTTAGATTTTACATAGAGGTGTGTTACAGAGTAGACCTTAATTTGTATGTGAATTCATGGGATGTTAATAATACATGTAAAGACTTGCAGCTGTAATTACCAGTGCTTTGTAAACTAACACTAGGACTTTTGTTTGTTTGTTTTTATCAGTGGGTCTTCTGAGACAATGTGCTTTTCCCTGCATCAATAAACTAGCTAGTTATCTCTTTTTATATGTCTTCACATACAGTTCCTTCTCAAGATTTTTTTTTTTTTTACATAAAATGTGTGCATTAAAAATAAGTTTATGTTGGTTGGATATCCTCATGTAAGTAATACTAGTTTTGAAACAAATCTAAGTAATATGTTTGGGTTTGTCATTGTCAATAACTTCTATGTGTTTTAATTAATTCCTTTTTTTTTCTTCCCCTCTAAGAATCTGTGTGTAGATGATGGGAAAATTCAAGAGAAAGTAAAAGTTCAGGTGGATGTGATAGTACAAGATTATGCTAGAAAAATTCCCAAGTGGATTACGGTAACATTTCTCCTGTTCTAAGTAATTAGCTAATTAGAGTAAAATAAGAACTCTCTAACTGTGCAGCACAATGAATTCTAATACAGCTTCTCTGCTGTTTCATCATTGTTCATCTGCTGCTTCCTGTCTATGTAAATATTGCAGTATCTCAGGTCTCTGACAGCAGTGATTTGTAAGAAATTGAACAGACAATATCCAAATTTTTTTTTTTGTAATTTTATACTTTGTTCTTTGAACCCTGATGTGCAAGTTGATCTTCAGTAAGTTTTCTGAAAAGCCTAAATTTGAGGTTTGTAGAGAAAAAAGGAGTTTTAGCTTTATTTTGGTTTTGGGGTGAGGGAGATTGGGGGCGAAGGGTTATGTTACATGGTACAGCTTCTGTTTCCTACTGGAGTTGCCAGAGATGTATAGATTATCCAGGTATATATATCCATGTATAAATTCTCATATTTGGGAAAGGGATTGAAATATGTTACATAATGTAGAAGTTGCAAAGGTGTGTGTTTGTTTGTTTTTCAGATAGCACCTCAAGGTTCATCAGAAGGTCTTCATTTAGCTTCGCCAGTGCAAGAACTGATTGGTACAACTAAATCTTTGGGGTGTTGGTCAAATATGTTAGTTACAAAATTCGTTTTTATTAAAATTTATTAGAAATAAGTATTTAATTTGTTGAAAACCCAGAGGCACTGTTTATCCAACAGAAAAGTTCAACAGGCTGGATTCTTGAAGAGAAGTTAGACGTGATTTTGCTTATGGCAAAATCTATTTGAAAAATAGAAAATAAATAACTAGTATACATAAAAACAGTTTTTCTTAAATAGCCCCAGGAAAAAAATGCATAGTTACAAAATTCAGCAGCATTAAGCTCAATTAAATGAAAGCATAATTTTTTGGTTCGGCTTATTTTAAATTCAAGGAATGTAATGAATGGCTTTGGGTCTGCTGGTAACCGGTACTCAAAGTGGTACTTCGCGAGTAAACTTACTTTCTTCATAAGCTCTCCAGACTTGATGCAAACCTAAGATAGAATTTTGGTGTAAATATTTCAAGCCTAACAACTACAAAAAGCATTATCTTCATCGTGCTTTACGGCAAGCAAAGCTGCACTGGTACTAGCCAAGTACAAAGCTTTCAAGTGATATGGAAAAAGAGTAACAAAACCTGTAGGATAAGGCTGTTCCTTCTGGTCAGAAATCACAAAGAGCAAAGCAGTCTGCCTCTACAATGAAAATATTTTATATCTATATATTAAGCTATTTTAAAATAGGGTTTATTTCCAACACATTTCATTTGTCTTCTATAGTCTGCTAATTCAATATGGTTAGGAAAAATCTTTTAATTTTTTCCTAATGGATTGTATGTTAATCATCCATTTAGCCTGGCAAAAAAGCTTAATGAAATATGCTATTACAGTAAGACTATCTGTACTGCATGCGATTGTTTCTAAGTCATGTAATACATTACTGGAAGTGCCCTAATAGGTTTGGAGTTTTTTTCTTCTTCTGGTTTTGTGATTCATTTTTTTTTTTTTTTAATAGGCAACCAAGCCGCTGTTTGTAGAAACAAAGTAGAGCTGTCAAATGAACGTTCTTCATCCAGACCTCTACAGTTACAATTTTCTGGTGTTCCCATTTTACCAATTAGAATAACCATACCCAGGCATCGACCTTCTCCAGAACTGAATAAAACTTGCTGTGATAGTATCTTGGAAGAATACCAGTCTGCAGATGAGGAATGCTCCTGGAGCAATGTAACTCTTGCAGACTTGTATCCAGCGATGGTAGAGATACTTACAAGGCTCATGACAAAGCAGTCTCGGAGAAAAGAGTTAAAATACATGTTTGGACACTTAAGGCATAAAAGATGGCGTTCTAGAAGACCAAAGCTCAATGTCACTGTAGACAAAATAAGAGGGTTCAGACCTCTTAAACTGAAGCAAGCACTACCCAGCATACGCAGCAGTAGAAGTGAAGACATCCAGAATCAAACTTTTGGAAATGAGAACAGAGAACTTTGTGATGACAAGTGTTCCATTAATAACTTATCTGGTCTGGCACCTTATTCTTACATTGATACAAATGAAATCAAAATGGACTACTCTGACTCAAGTTTAGAACATCATTTGGCATCTGGAAAAGGCCAAAAAGTCTCCAAGCAGACTGTTTTTCCTAATGTTATGGCTAGAATGGGAGAGACATTTCTAGTTGAAGATGAGTTACAGACTACTATCTCACTGAAGAATTCGAAATGCAAAGAAAGTGAAAAGTTGGCTTACAAATGTTCCTCAGAATACCGTTTTATAACATCTACTGCTAGTTCAGGGTCAACAGCGCTTCATCTGGTAAAAGAGAGTAAAACTCAAAAAACTGGCTTTCCTTGTGGTGATACCTCAGAGTTGTGTTCATCTACTTGCAGTTCCTATGGCAATAGTAACACTTTTACACCTGTCACAAACTGTTCTCTTGCAAGAGCATCAAATACTTTGCTCATAAATCCTGAAAAAATAATTTCTGAAAGACTAATTTCTTTCCAGCACAAACACTCATTTTCCTCATTCTCTATCAAGCAGAGTCCTTCAAAGATGCCCCAGAAATATGAAGATGCATTTGAAAAACTCTACTACAAACTGTGTTCCAAAGAAATCCAAAAGCCTTTGACATTGACAAGACCTCTTTCAAATTCACAGAACCTTGAAGAGAAAGGAAGATTAGTGAAGAGTAATTTAAGTGATTCTGTGAGGTCTGATACACAGTATGATAGAGAATTTGACAGGATCTATGAGCAATTGTGTAGTGAGGCTGTTCCAAAACTTCCTGGGTTTCAGAGAGCTTCAAATTTAAGGAAATACGAAGGAATACAGATGTCTGAAACTGTAAATGCTCTTGTTAACTCACCTGTTCGAACTTTATCTGCAATTCCCAGAGTTAAAAGACTAGGAAATTTTCAAAATGATCTTCTTTGTTCACCAGTGAAGCGACTGAAAAATATACCAGAACGTTATTTTCCTTCAACAAAATGTCAACAGATTTCTCACAGAAGAAATGTTAATCTTCAGACAGTTGGCATGGATTTTTTGAGCACATACAATGGCAGTAACCCCAGCTTTTTTGACAGTCACAACTGTCAGAGTCAGGTACTTAAGGACCTTGTAAAAAAAAAAATGATTGTGCGCTCTTTGCTGATATTTGGAGAAGGGTTTAAAAAATGGGTTAAAGCTGGAAGCTGTTTAAACTAGTGACAGCGTAATTCTGGCACTATTTGGTCAGTAGGGTTGTTTTACAGGTTTGGGGGTTCGGGGATTTTTATTTGCTAAAATATAAGTTGTATCAGGTCTCCTGGATCATGTGAGGAAGTTCACTATATTTAATAACCCTGAAAATGGTTATGCTCAATAAAAGATTTTGTTACATTTTAATAGACTGTGTCACTGGTTAAAATAATCTCAGACAGTGACCCTGTTAATTAAGGTGGTGTCCTTCTGAAATGATGACCTTTTATTCATTTTGTAGATGGACAAGGTGAGACAAACAAAACAGGCTTTACTAGGTTCCACTGGAATCGTAACACTTGTTGATTTAAATATTAAATAGGCCCTTATTTCCAGGTTCCCAGTCATTTCTTCTGTGGCAAGCTGTGAAATAACACGTGAGTTTTTCCATCAAAGTAATCTGTTGATGCTTTATTTTCAGGACTCTGGATTTCATGCTTCTTCAGATAAAACTTTTCTTGGTATTCCTGGTACTTCCCTGCAAGGTTAGTTTTATAGACTTTATGAATTACTACTTTAGCAATCACAAGCACTTCTTCAAAGGGTAAATCTACAGATCTCAATAGACCACTGTCTAGGTGACAGCTCTTCTTCAGTAATAATCGGGTATGTTTAAGTGTTCCTTTAAGTAAGGAATCTATACAGAAAAGTGTTTCCTGAATCGCATGTTAACAGCTATTTAAGAAGTTTTTCTTTAGGTTAACTAGGACTTTTCCTACTAAAGTGTTGTTTATTATCCACTGGTTTTCTCTCTTCCTTTTTTTTATTTTATTTAAAGTTTGCTGTCGCTTTTACTTTCTGTATCTAAATGTTCAGCAGGAAATGCATAGTTTGTTAATCCTACACTTGAATTAACCAAATGCTTACCAAATGCTTCTGTTTGGATTCTTCAATTTTACAAAAACTTGCAATTGAGTTGTTGCATGGCTACTGTCACTTTCTTAGGTGAATTAGATTAATAATCTGGATAAAAAGACTTTTGCCAATTCAGGATGGTAGAATTTTATTATTAAAAAAAAATACATTAAGATTTTAGATGCTAATCTTTTAATTTCCTTTTAAAAATCTGATTTTGGTTAAAGCATGTTCCTAACATAACCTGAACTTTTTTCCTGCTAAGTAAAATCACCAATGTTTATTCTCCGTATTTTATTTTTATGAACCTTGTCATCAAGATAACAACTAACTAACATGTAAAGGAAAATACTGAAGAAGGTGACTTGAAATATTGTCAACTGGTATACAAGAAGAAAATGGCAGAATAAATGCACTTGTTTGCATGGTTCTTGCCTTGTTGCATTTTCATTACTGATGAATTGTAAAGAATTTGATTATTTGACATGGACTTATCCTATCTGTCTTATTTTGCCTTCCTCAAATTTTAACTCATACTTTATGTATTACATTTTTTCTGGTATCAACAGTTTCTTCTACTTCTCCCTTTTTCTAATGGTGATAAATTATAAGTATTTTGAAGAAACCTAGCTTATACTTACATTTTATACACTGAATATATTTATTTGAATTAAGTTTTGTCAGAACCTTTTGCATTAGAATATTTTCATAAGGAAATTTGCTCATTGAGGTATGCCAATGAAGTATTACCAATGTCTTAATAGGCTAATGTTTTAACAACATACTGTAGTGTCCATGCTACTCAGCATTGTTCTTACCCTTTTTCATACTCCTGTTTTTCATCACCAGAATCTGGGATTGCAGATGCCCACTCTGGTTGGCCTAGGGCAATGAAGAATTACAGCTGTCCTAGAAATGCACAGAAGTGTCACCAAAGGTAAGTGCCTTTTGAGAAAAGAAATTTCAAAAGAAATTCTTGCTGCTCTGCATCTATATTAAAGGTATGGAGGTTGTTGCTTACATGCGTACTTCTAGAATGAAAATCAGCATGGATGCTTGGGAGAGCCCAAGCTAATCAAACCTGCAGACTCGAACACTGGGAGGCAAGTGTCTGTGGACAAAACTAGCCAGACTCCAGCATGGATGGCCAGTGAACACTAGTTAGTAAGATGGCCTAACTGAATAGCTACTCTAGTCCTTCTTTTGTGTTAATTATAGAGGCATTTATTATTTTAGATATAACTATAGAATTGTTTTGATTCTGCCTGAGTGTTTCAGCTAACAAGTCCTCTCAGATCCTTAGGCTGTGGAGAGTGCAGTATATTGCCATTTAAAAGGACTTTTAAAAGTTAGCTTCTGTGCAGTTGGGCATATTTACCTGCATTTTGGCTCTGTGTACATAAGCAGTGGCTCTGTTTGGAAGATATCTGAGATCCTCTCCTCCTGCTGTTATCAGTATCGGCAGTGTATTTAGATCTCTGGAAGGAGAACACTCCTTCCAGCTCCCTGGATACCAGCCTACTACATCTGCTTTTCTTAGAAAATATGTGACTTTTAAAGGACTCTCAAGTTTCAGATCTCTTGGATTTTTAATTACAAACTAATTTAATAGACAGCAGGATTAAAAAGCATTAAAAGTTCTCTAAACAGTTTCTCACTTTATTTTCCAAAACATTTTTGACATGCTTTTTTGCCAAAAAGTCTAATTTGGCACCACAAGATATGCTGCCTTCCCAAACTCAGTCAAGAAATATTTTCACTATGCTTGAGATGATCATACAGCTGATATAAAAATTTTCTGACAATGTTCAACTTAAAACTTCAAAGGAGGTCTGAATGCATTTTTAAACTACTTGTATGGAGAACTTAACTGGAAAAGAGGCTGCATCATTTAAAGAAAAAAGTTTCAGTTTAAGCAAAGATGGAATTAAAACATAGAGGCTTGTATTACAGATATATAACAATATTGATAAAGATTATATTCGGATTTTTATATAATGGAAGATTGGAGGCAAGCTGATGAGTATACAAGGATGTTTCTGTGATATTGAGTATGCCCACTTAGCTGAGTAAATTTCTGCTCAGTTCTTGGATTCCCTCTTTTTTTCCTCACTACTTCTTCCTGACTCCATACAAAATAGCCCTCCCTATGAGATTAGTAATCGTTCTGAAGGAAAAGGTTTTCCTTTCCTTAATGCATGTAAGTAGAGAAGTTTAAGAAAGAGTAGGAAATCAGGATTTCACGGAGTGCTTTCTTGCCAAGCCATCTGGAATAAAATCTATTTCTTTGTTCCTTAATTACACAAATGCATGATTGCTGATTTGTAGCCAAAATTGGACTGTCAGCTGGCGAGCTTCCTTAGGCCTGTCGTGTGATATTCTTAGCCTTCTATGGTTCCCAGGAGTAAAGCTGCTCTTTAATGGCTTTAGAGCCCTCAGAAGTTTCATGCCTAAGCCATGTGGCAAAATGCTGTATATTGTAATGAATGGTTGTGGAAAGAAAAGGAATATTGTCTTCCTGTCTGGAACTTGATTGCCTTTATCTAGAGGATGATTATGAAAGAGATATTTCAGAAAAGAAAATGTTCATAACTAATAAACTTGTCTTCAGCTCTGTGTGAATGCTGTCCTACAGCTATACTGCTATACTTAAGTGTCAGATGTAAACCAAAATAGTTTAAAATAGATGTTAAAAAAAATTTCTTTAGTAGTATGCAAGGAAATAATTGTATTCACGCTTGTATCTTTCATTTTTAGCTATTTGTGAATACATTCAAAGATTACGTCTCTAAGTTTAATAGATATTTATACAATTTAGATTAATGCAGTAGCATTACTGAGACATTAAATGACATAGGATGAAAAGTTTCCTCTAGCTGAAAGCACAGAGGAATGCAGACAAGGAGTCCTGCTATTGTTCACAGTCAAGATGTTCAGATACCTTGCTCTGGCAATTTGTTTCAATTTCATTCTGTTCATCAGAGTTTCAGCAAGCATAGTATTTTTGTGTAATTTACTTTATCATCTAAACAATTCTTTTCTATAGGGTATCCAGAAAACTAAACTACACTGATGGGAGAGACCAAAATCCTAGCAATCCCCCGGACAACTTCCTGGTCAAAACTCACCAAGGAGCATTCACAGACTGCTACAGAGAGAACATTTTTTTATAAAGTTTGATTTTGTTTTGTTTTTCTTTCTTCTTCCAAGAATCAAGGATGTATTATATGTATGTAATATACAATTAGTCCTGATTTATACTTTCCTGTAATATAAATCTTAAGGAACTGCTTCATCCCTTCTGACAGGGCACTTAACTCCTTTGGCAATCAGGTATTGCAGGGAATCAGGGTTTCTTTCTATGACTAAGTTTAAATTATGTATTTAGTAGTGTTTATAATAACAAAATGTGATCTGTATTATCTTTTTATCTGCTGATAAGCTTTGATTCTTAATGTATTAGTAATAAGATAAGCAACAAGCTCTTTCTGCTGATTTCCTGCCTATTCATGCTTTACAGATGTATCAGTACTAAATGAATGAAAAAATCTAAACTGGGCTGGATGATCCAAATGCAGTATTATACGCTATGACTTGTAATATGCCTGCTATATAATTTTAATGTTAAATTTTCTAAGTAGCTCACCAAAGTTGATTGTTCAGTAAAATTTTATAATTTTTAGTCGATTTGATAGTTATATCCTGTATTCTGACAAAATTCTACCTGACACAATATATATTCTAAATAAAAACCTATTCTGAACAAATACCTGCTTTCAACATTTTATTTCAGGTATGTGAATTCTCAGGAGGAGTTTGTATACCTACAGCAAATACATGAGAATGATGTGGCAGGGTCCCACAGGTTTTCATTGCTGTGTTCTTTCTTGGCAAGGAGATTGGTTTAGTGGTAAGTGTCAGGTCAAATACACTCTGTTTTATTGGCATTGCCCCTTGTCAGCTTTCTGAGCTCCGGAAAAGGAAAAAATGGTTTTCCTTTGGCTTTACTTCATTTCTGGGCACACAGGAGTTTTTTATGTTATTTTAGCTCTTAAAACCAAGATCTTCTTGTCTTCAGTGTTGTTCTCAAATGGAACAAGAAGCCAGCTTCAGTGAGGTTTACTCTCTGATAAGACAAGAACTTCTGTAATATACACACACATTCTATCCCTCATCATTTGTATATTATGTTTCCTTCAACAACAGCAACAAAAGATTGTCTTTTAGAAACGCTTTTGTGGTTCATTTTTCTTCCTGTTCCAGACATGGATGAACTGTAGGGAATATGCTTTATTGAACTACCTTCCCCTTGGATTTGTTGAGGTAATTATTTCCCAGTATTTCTTGATACACCAGTACTGAGAGATTACATAACTCCATTAATGTTTTCTGTTCTAAAGTAACTTAAGGGTAAACTGGAGTTGGGTTTTGGACATGTTATGACTCTAGATATGATTTCCGCACAGCAACCTGAATGCAGGCTTACCCAGGTAGGAAGGTAAGTTTATTTAAGCAACATAGTAATAGTTCATTGTCTCCATGAAAATTACTTCGGAAGAATTTTAAGAGGTAGTTCTTGAAAAACCTTGAAGCGTTGGAAGATAAGCTCATCCCAGTGCCACCTTTTTGGTGCTAGCAGTAGCAAAAAATAATTTTTAGAGCTTGATCCTCCAACATCCATTTGAGTCAGCAGACTCTTAAAAGTATGATATAAGCAAAAGCCTGTGTTGTTTTTCCTAACAACACTGTTTAAACAGATGCATCTGCAGTGACTGTCAGATGCTATAATGACTACTGGAGTATAACTGTCCTAGACTTACAAAGATTTTGTGGTTCTACTTGATCTCTCTTCTGGTTTGAGCTCCATTCTTCCCTTCCAAACACTTTTGCTTCTTCCACCATATTTCCTCTTGTTTATTCTTTCTTCACTGTTCCATTGAACTCATACTTGAATGCTAAGCTTACCGTTAACAAAAACAGCTTCGCACTGCTTCCCTCTGCTACAAAATTTTTGTAAAGAACACTGGAAAAACAGACTAGGTTACTGGGATAGTATAAACCTAGACCTAGCATGTCCTTTTCTTATTTTGTTGTAATTAGTTGAAATTTTCTTTATACATAAACAATTTAAGCAATATATGATAGCTTATGTAGGTCTTCCTCTAATGGCTTGAAGATGGAGCAATATTGAACATGCTCTTTCATGTAAGAATTCAGTAGTCATTTGAAAACTATCCCAAAAAGTCATTTTAAAAAAAAAAGCTCATTCAGTTGCTTTTTTAAGCAGACAGAGGGTAAAGAGCTGGAGGAATAAAGCTAAATCTGGACTGTGGCAGCATTATAAGTGCCTTGGAAACAGTTGATAGGCCATTAAAGATGATCCTGAAGAGTCTGTGAGAGCAGCAGTGAATAATTTAATGGAAGCAGTGATTAAATGTGGAAAGGAAGTGTATATTGAAGGAGAATATTTACAAAAGTGCCCTGCTCTTTTAGCAAGCTATGTTGCAAGGGAAAGCAGCTGCTGAAAATTGGTAGAAATAAATAGCTGGACTAAACAATGAAGACTAAGAATACAGAGGAAACTAGATGTACCTAAATCCCATGAAGTAGACTTACTGTTACAAGTACACTCAACAAGAGAAGTGTGTACTTCATTTCCATTAAATTAATGATCAGGCTGAAATGACAAGTTGAATTTAGGTAACTCATAGAAGTTCTTTGACTTTGGAATTTTTAGAGGAAAGGCATAATCAAGAGTGCAAATGCTGTGAGAAAATTGGGAAATAGCAACTTTTGTACAAAGTGTACACAAATTGTATTAAATGAAAATACAGCATCCCTTGTTTCATGTGTATGTTGGAAAATAGTAACAGACTCCTGGGCCTGTGCTTGAGAGATTGTTTAAGAAAGCTTTCTCTTTTAATCATCTCAGAGCACTGAGTATTGCATCTGATTGGTGCCAGCTAAATCAAAATATTTTATATAAATATTTTACATATTAATGCTATTCAAACAATTTTGATATGCGAGTCTAAGCAAGAGTATGTTGATATGTATTTTATTACTTATTTTGTTCCTACTATGGAACAAAGTATAATTCCTTCCGATCTAATCAAATTAAGTTAGTACTTCATGCGCTGATATGTTGGTGTTTGGCTTTGGATCTTTGGCTTTGGATTTGCCTTCCTCCTTTCCCCCCTTAGGATCGTCGTTTAATATGGTTCTCCATAAAAGTGGTTTTTTACCAATTCTTCAACAGTATTTATTTTTGCTTATCCAATGGTAGTTGGTCTAAGACCGTGATAACACAGTCACTTTAATTCCAAGTCTGCCTTGTTTCTGGGGTGTAATAGCCAAACATATATTGACTTGATTTCTGCACACAAAAGCAAGTGCTAGCATAAGACAGGCAGTGACCCTGGGCAGCTTTGGCTGCAGGGGTTGGCCCCTTCTTTTTGGTCCAGCATAGAAGTTAAGGCATGTGAAGAGGCTCATTAACTATGAGCTAAACTAAACATGAACCAGGCTGTCAAAGAACTTTCTTTTACATTGATTTTTTTCTTCATAAATTTGTCCCATCTCTGGACATGTCTGTCCACTTCATGTCCGTCCACTTCTGCTTTTAGAAGAGGTGTTGGCTCTTTGTAAATATGGGCTTTTTGTTTGTTTTGGTTTTTGTAACTGCTTTCAGGGCTATCTCCTTCAGGACCTGAAACACTTGCAGGGCTCTGTATGTGCTTGAGAGTTTCAAGCTCCTTGACACTGTGCTCTGTGTGGATTTTAAAGGCATTAATGTCCTTTTTTTGAGAATGCAGAACTGTCTGACACCTAGAGGTAGGCATATTACATCAACATGCCTTGCTGTTTCCTGCTATTACTACTTATTGACTCCCAGAATATAAAAATAAATCCCCACTCTATAAAAGCTTACCATCTGATGAATTTAAAATCTTAAGATGAATGTGCACACAGTATGTGAACTATTTGGGGGAATAAAAAGCTCTTTCTACTTTTGTAAAATAGTTGGTAACAGTGGCAATGTAAAACCCAATAGGAATTTAAACATCACATAGAATATTAGAAGGAAAAAATTCTCCCTAGGAGATTTATTGTTACAGATCATCTGCCAATATCTTTGTGGACTCTTGAATATGGCTGGATACAACATTACATTAGTAGAGTTGAGATTTGAGATGTATTCTGGTATTGCTCACAGAAGGAAATTAAGGTTATACAAGGATATTGTTAAATCTTGTGAGATGTACAATTACTACTTTAAACAAGCTGTTAAATTATTCTCCAATTAGCTTTAGATATATTGTGTTATTACCATAGACCAGTCACAATGGGAAAGTACACAATGTGGAACAGCAGATCAGTTTTTAATTGGGAAAACAACTAAATCATTAAGTGTGCAAGTATGAAACACAATTTCCTTCCAAAAGTACTGTTAAAACCTATATAGAAGAATAGTTATACCCTGCTAGAGCTCTACAGACAACTGAGTGGGTCTTTTGGGGATGTTTGAAAGTTGATGGTTGTTTTAAACGAATGATTAATTTTTACTGGAATCAATACCATGTGAATGCTGAGATACCAGCTTCTGCAACTCCCTTTCAAAATGTCTTCAGAAGGGCAGGTCCTTCAAAGTGGCAGTCTGGATCTTACTTCTTGCTTAGTCCGTAAATGTGCTTGGAAGGCACTTTGGAACAGTTAACTTACCCATTTTATACCATTGTTTGGTATGTCAGTTTGCCAGGATATTTTCTTTAATCATTCACTGTTCCTCCAGAATGAACAAACAGATCTCACTTTATGATTACGTATTTGGTTCGTGAAGCCACTTCAAATGTTCTCTCCTTTTGTAGTATGAATCAAACCCATTAATCTGATGGGATCATCATGAATGGCTTCTATGTTTGCTGTGTTTTCAGCAGCCAGCTGCTCGCTGTTGAGGTAAATGCTAACTTTGGAAGCTATCATGGTGGGCTTAGATGATCTTTCTTCTTCATCCTCCTCTAATGAAGGGTTTGTCTTTCTCCGTGGTTTTCTGCGTTTTCCCTTAATGCTGTGATCAAGTGAGGCATAACACATCTGATTGGCAGATTCCACCTAGAAGGAAATTCACTGTATAGTTAACATTCAGTAGTTACGCTTGCTTTAAAATTATGTC